ATTAGGGCGCACCTCTGCGTGCATCAAAATAAATAAATAAATAAATAATCTGTCTGCCACCTACCAACCTTTTTCGAAGTAGTAGAGCCTAACTTCGCGAGTATACGGATGCTCTTCTAAGTACATTTCTGTAGAGGGAATCAAGTAGATTATTTCTAGGAGAAAACCCGAACTCAAACTTCAAATTCTAACGAGAGAAAAATGACCCGAAAAAATCCGCAGTAATTATGTATCAACCTAACGGTAGAAGGAACCAAATTATTACCTGTCCTAAACACTGCTTGTTCTTCTTCTTCACTCGTAATGACGATATTTCTGAGTTTGCTAAGCTTGTCCATAATCTATCAGTCAATTATCAAAACAGAGCCATTTCATTTGATTGTCATCCGTCCCAATTATGCTTATGAATATAATTACACAAAAAAATAAAAGCTCTGAAAGGGAAGGTTACCAATGTCCTTTGTCGATGGTAGCATAGTTCAGCTTCTGCCGAATAACAGAATAAGTAGAAAGGAACAAATTCAAATCAGGTGGAGCAGGCTAGACAGTAAGATGATCAAAATAGTTGGAACTCTGATCACTCATTGTTATACTATTTGAAAATACAAAGATAGGGATTGCAGTGATAGCAGGAATGAACACACCGTAATGATTACATAATCTTCTCCCATACTGAAAACAATCTTACCCTCACAATTGTGGCAGGATATATCCCATCCAGTTTTACAAAAAAANAAAAAAAGATCACCTATTTCCACAATCTTCTGAGCATTCATCAACATGTTTTTTTTATTGCGCTGAATCTTTCAGCTTCAAAAGCTTATGAACTCCAACAACTCAGATTACCTTCTAATAGTACAGTAGCAGTTTCCTCTAGCATGGTCAGCAGATTTGGACAATGTAAAGGCCTTACCACCCATGGTATCGAATTTGCAGTTTCGCCACAGTAGAGCATTCGAAGTTGCTATATTATACCACTGAAGAACAGATGGCTATCAATACAAAGTTTAACCGTTTCCAAAGCGCTGTCGAGAGCCGCTTAGTATTTTTTAGAATATTAACTTTTAGAAAAACTGCACAAAGTACCTCACTCTGCATTTTTCAGTTCTAACCACAATCATGGGAAGAGGGGCTCCGATTAATATCAGATCACCAGCCAGTATCGCACCTTCACTCATTTGCCTTTTAGGTGATCTTGCACAACAACGATGAACCGCACACTTCTCAATGCTTACTTTACCTTATTTTCCACTTTTCAATTTTTTTTGTAGTTTATACCACTTTCCAATAATACTACATACAAGCGGTCCGAGAAAACATTTCTATCTTGCTTCAGGGGTAGCATGCCTAGAAAATCTATGCCCTTGATCTGGGCTGTGCACAAAGCTTATTTGAACGTCCACTAGTAACATGATACAAACATTCAACGCTACTAAAAATCTCTGGAACAAAATTCTCGGAACAGGGTGCAGTTGTTTCAATTGATCAGTAAATATCACGGAAATCTTCCAGCTGTGTCCTGCTATAAGGCTGTATCAAAACAGAAGCCTTCGAAATCGCTTTTCGAACCATACATTTTCACTTGGTTTCTTCTCGTGCAAAATATTATCATCCCAGAGCTGCTTTTGCCAATATTTTTTTGCTCTTCAGGTAATCCTAGAGTTTCTTCAAATTTCTTCGCACCCCAGGCAGATCAGATCTGGCTTTTATCGTGATCTTTTCGTGTTGCCTTGTGTCCATATGTAGTTTCATTCCATCCTTCTCTACTAATTCGCTATCTTTACCCGGGAATACGTTGAGGAACTCTCCTGAATTCCTTTAACACCCTGTTCCATTTCTACTCCTTAGGTTCGCTATTCTTTGTCAGATGATGTTATTTTTTTTCTTTTGATGGAAGGTCATCGGTTCAAGACTTGCTTAGTGGCCTTGTTGACTTCCACACTCTAGTCTTGCTCGGGTATTTGTTCCTATTATTACTTATAATCTCTTGACATCCAAAATTCGAGAGACTAGATCTAATGCACTGCGCCTTCTAGTTCCACCCCCATTTTGACAGCCGCTTACAATACATTTTAGTTACAAATGCATGAAATACCGGTATCATGCACTCTGCAGGTAACACTTCTCAGCAATTCACAGGATAGACAACTCACCTTCTACCCTCTTTTAATCACTGCGATGTGTAGACTGTATCCAGTATTACCCATGTTTGGTGCCTGATGAATTTACCTTAGCTGATCAAGTCTCTCCTAGCGGTGTTTTTCCCCTCTGAAACACAATTCGCGCCCAAACTTCCTGCAATGGTGACTGAAGATGGTATAAAATGCGTTTTTTTCTCAGCTCTTTCCTCCTTTTTCTGTCAAGATGTGACGAATCAGACTTTGAAACCTTACCTGCTTTCAGACGGGCGAAGATTTTGGACGATCCCTATCAATGTTCCCGATTTTCTGAGTTGCAGCATTTCTCAACCTAATCGAACCCATCTCTGTTTCCCTATCTTGCTTTTTGGAGCACTAAATCGCCACAGTCTTTGATACCTACACCTGCTCTTCCTTAACTTTTCGTGACCATATGTATGTTTTGGAGTTCCAAACTCTCTGCAGTTCAGCTTTTGTAATCTTTCTTCTCGTTAGTAGGCAACTGAACTTTTTACCTACTGTTTCTATGGAAGTCTACCCATGCCTTGGCTACTAGATTACTAGGCCATTATTAATAATATATTAATATTATTAATAAAACTGCATAACCTTCAGGGATATACCTTGTTCAGAGTGTTGAGCAGCTGGGTGTGTTTGGCCAATCAGTCGTACCGTCCAAAAGTATCTGCACGTATTCAAAGAATCTATCTTTCATGCTGGTAGAGGGGTTTGCTCGCTGAGCAGCTGTTGGAGATTAAATAGAAGTTTGAAGCACCTCAGCTCCGCCCTCACTTTGGAGCCCCTAATTTAGATAATGCCCCAATTTACTACTGCCGCTTGCCAGCAGACTTCACAAATCTTCTGTCATCTTCTTTGCCTTCTTGTACTGATTGGCGGCGACAGGAACACACCTTTGAAGCTACTTTCCAACTGATCATTTATAGCTAGTAATATTCGGCCCATGCAATTTGCTAATCGTTGATATCAGGGGATCGTCTAATCAACCCGTTGAAATTTTCAAGCTTGTTAACTTGAACTGTATGCATGCTTCAGCCTAAATTAATGCCATTCTGACCTGCGGTGACCGCTTGCCCTTCCGATTTCGCCAAGAAGCGTAGCTGATCATCTTCCCGAACACCCACATTCGCGGAGTCACAGCAGGCAAATATTCACTTTTGCCTCGCGGCTCTACTCAGCATTTACTGCATTTGGGACGCCTCCCCTCTTATAAATAATCTCCTTTTTTGTTACTATCTTGCTTTTCTGCTTTGCTGTGAATAATTTCGATCTGATTTAGCATTTTCGCTTCTCGCTAGTAACTGTTCAATAGGGGTTAAATAAGAGGAAACAGCTTTTGCAAAGACAAGGTGACCTCGCCGAGCGCTTTTTTTGTGTGGGCATGTACTTCACTTACGGATAATGAAATGTCGTTCATCTTGCGTAGTGAAGGTTGTTAGGATGTAAGCTTTGAACGCAGTCATGTCAGTCACGTTCATTTTAACATCACGCCAGAATTCTCCTTAATCGGACAGTTCTTTTATAGTGAGATTTATTCAAAATCCACAACTCTAACATTGGAGATACACAGGGAATGAATGAGGTATACGGTAGCAGCACAACAGCAAAATACGTAAATAAGGAAAGAATGGATGAAAGTTCGAGTACAATTGAAGCGAAACAGTACTGAATGCGAGCATACAATATAAATATGGTGAGCATTCATCAACGGATCTAAGACTAGTCGAATGCTCAAACAAAAGCAGTCGTACAAATCAAAAATGCATCGTGTTATAAGTGAAAGGAATGTTCTACGGGCTGTGTGTGCTTGTTGGTCCATCACAGTGAGGTGCTATCGTGTATGAAGGACTTCGAGTATCGTGATATTTCTTCAAATATCTGAATTCGTGGATATTGCCTGTCAGCTGGGCAAACTGGGCATGTCGACTCGACCTTCCAGCCATCGGTTGTAGATATCTTGATAGTGTTCGGAATGATGTCGATTCAGATGGCCCATAAAATTACTCGAACATGGAGATCGCACCACAACGTTGCATAGAATACATTGTGCATTGCCATCGGTAGTCCGACGAAATAGCTCCCAAACCTGTAAGATGAGCCTGTAAGCCTGACCTGTAATGTGAATCTGTGTGGAAATCACCCACATGCTTTATTGATAAGATTTTTCATTCTGTTCTCCGTGAAAATTTTTCAGTTGCTTTGTAGGGCAGATATCTCTTAATCTAATATATGGATAACACCTACAACTTGTGAAATTCACAAAAAAAATTCAAACCTCTTCCAGACACTGAAGGCCCCACTGCTGCCTTGAATAGCTCTAGTTTGAAAACTCTTATAGGAGCTTTCCAACCTTCCACCTTTTGTAACGATTAGATCATCTTTGTGCGCAGCAGTGACTCTTCGTTCTTGCTCATTTCGATTCTTTTCTTTCATTAAAGTTCAATTCGTACTAGTTGTCTTGCACGCTTTTAGATGAAAATCACTGGCACCTAAAATTCCTAGCGAGGCTCACCGCCTACAGACATTTGCAGCAATGGAGTCTCTTGTCTATGGGTCCCTCAACAACTGCTACCTCCCCTACCTCACCCTATCCCCACAGTTTATCTCCGCAAGATGTCTGCGGATATTGTATAGAGATTGGTGTTTGAATTAGGCAGCACGATGAAGTTCAATGTCACCACTCCAACAAGGTACTCACCGGATGCTTTGTTCGACGATTTCTTTTAGCACCTCGTCGGTCCGGATTCCATGGCACTCCTTGTAAGGGTCGCTGTAGCGCCTGCATATTGTGATAGTGATCGTAGCTGGTGACTACTCTATAACGAGTATTACTGAAAAGATCGATACATTGCTTAGAGCGGTGATCACCAACACCTTACTACCAGGTATACAATAGAAGAGAACGTGCTTAAGCGGTTGCATATGTTGGGAATATGAATTCCACGAAGGGGTCTGGTGAACATCGTAGTTGCTGACGACCGACTGGTCGTACTTCTGCGCATTGAAGTCAACCTGATCGACTGGACTCGGTGTCGTCACGGTGGTAGCATTCTGATGGTGCCGCTCCAGATGCTTGCTCATGTTCGTGGCGCAAGCTGATTTGACGAGCTAGAAAAGTTGACGAGATCAAGCATCTCGAGAAAATCCATCTTAACAACGTTTAAGTCAGTCCTTTTGTTCAACAACTTTGCCCTAATTAGCGAGTTTATGAACCCCATAGGGCTTGAGGCTGCCTACCCTTGCGCACATGTTGCACTGCACGCTTTTGTCGTCGATTCGCCGAAAAAATGTCCAGACCGGATTCTTAGTTGGACGTCCACGCTTAGTGCCACGTTTGCGAGCTCCCTGTGAATTCCCATCATTCAGTCCATCAATCTGAACAAAAGAATTTTCTGGAAATCAAAGGGGTACGATCGTAGCAAAAACAACCACATAGGCCTCAATCTGTTCGAGAGAGTAGATGCGTGAGTAGTGATCAAACAACAGAGACTCATAATTTTGTCTACACAAACTCATCGGCATATCTGAGTTTCAAGACCGTACACTGAGGTACGTGAAATAAAAGCAGTGAGTTTACGGTAAATCTAATCGTTCCAGTAGCGATCGTCAACGGTCACTTATTTCCTCAACTGTACCATTTCGTACTATACTGGTTATAATTTATAGCAATGGCTGTTGATGCCCTTTCACTCAATACCTACATTGAAGCTGCATGCACACCCCTCTCGATTGATTGGGGACGGTATGTATAGAATTGTAGGGAGGGGTAGCAGGTGATTCTATGATGGCAACCGATATCATCGAACCCTGCATATTAGTCAGCCCAGAGACCTTGCAACTGGACTAGACTTCTTTCCAATCTCGATGGCGAACCGCTGAGTCGCCAGTAACCGCTAGTAAATTCTAAGCCTGTGCGTGAGTACCAGCGGCTGTCGAGTTACCGAACTCTTTTAAACTATTCTACCGGCTATGATTTTACTATTATAGCCTATCAGGACTTTCTAAGGGCTAATCCAAACAGAGTAGGTAACGTTCTTTATGGATTAAATACCATGGTTTTGTTCTGCAAGTTCGATGGAGCATCCTCCTGTGATGCACTCAATGACGGCCCGGCTGCTGCTGCAGCGGCATAGTAAAACATCGATGGTTGTAGGGCAATGGAGTTATCATAGTGGTCGTTTCCCTGAAAGTATCATATTTGAATTTACTGACAAGAGCTGGACAGTGGAATTGAACATACTAGAAGTACATTTTACTGAACTTCATCAGACGAGGGAGTAGCCTCAAGTTTATATCAACTGACCCGTCTTGAATTTTGCTTCCCCTAGTATTTTGCGAAGTACAAGTATCAATGCGGTTTCCGCGGTCCTAGATGTCTCGCATAAGTAAGTACTTTATAGCCACTTTATCTCTTAAACGGTCTCTTCGGGTGATCCTCTGTATACAATAATAATAATAACAACACTAATAGTAATGATGATACTTTTTATTAATAATTGCTTATTAAAGCTATTTCTTCACCATGGGAAAACACTGTGGGAAGATCCTCGAGCTGAAGCTGACCTTAATGCCATGTCCACTGGAAACATCATTTAGGAAGCTTGAGTGGAGTAGACTCGAACACATGATCTTTATAAACATATTTTGGAGGTGGTTCATTCAGACCAACATTTGCTACTGAAGCCAACCGTGCGGAGGTGAGCTGAACGCCGCTATCAAGACAAAAAGTCGAGCTGACACAAATATCCTTCTGCCCCTCTTCTATATCCATATCAACTAACTCTTCCTATGCTTTGCTTAGCTTCCTTAAAATGAATGCAGGTGAATACAAAACAGTTCCTTTCACTTCACAAGGGACGAGAATTGGTCTTCCAATTTACTTCTACAACAATGGATGCCACGTGCAACGGGGTGAATACTAAGAACCTAGAGGCCTATGACGCCTTTTCCCTAGAAAGCCACTCACTTCCTTTTCAGTTTTTAAACGAGTAATACGAGCGATCGATAAGGTTCGCTAGTTAATCAATCCGCAAACAACAATTGGATCGAAATTGATCGGCAAAAGAGTTCGACGGTCTTGTGACGCCGACCAATTTATTGATAGTAACTGTCGTTGCAGCAAACATTCGGAGTGGAGGAGAAATGTCCCAATGTTCAATGACCACCTGTAATTAATTGCAAAATAAGGATTCTAAGCAGCCCTGAAATACGCTCGGGTAGGACTCCATCTATAAAAGGGGCACTCTCAAGAGGTAAAAGGCTGGCTCTAGGCACGATAGCATCTCATCAGTGTAATTTCAGATTGAAGTTTGTGTTTTACTCTTTTCTGACCTCCTATCCTCTATCAGACTTTATCCCATTCGGGAAAAATTGTCCTTAGGTCGGGAAAAATTGTCCTTAGGTTTAAATTGGACAGATCCAAATGAAGAAATAGATTGGAAAATGGGTGGCTGTTCAAGCAGCTGATGCCAAAAGATAAATTTTCAGCACCACTTCCTAACTGAACTACCAGTCGAGCGGTAGCACCTTCATAGCATATTCAAGCATGCCCTCGTGCCACATAGACGAAGCACAAGACCACAGGTCAAGAGGGTGGCACTAAAAGCCTGTAAGTGGCCATATTCTAGAAATATACATTCATTCAAGAATCACTTCAAGCAGTAGGAATTTCGGTCTATGTGACGTCTCACTGACACCTAACCGAGGCAATCCCATGTTGTATGATAGCGCAGGATCTGGAAGGATCAAATGGCTTCCCACCAACTCCCACCAGTAGATGTACACTTGAATTTTGTGAAAGGCAAATGATCAAGTTTAAGCTGGATTTTTCACCCGTCATTCCTACAATTCGGGGTGAAACTTAGTTTGGGGAAGGGCCACCCATCATAATGTTAGTATAACAAGGAATGTACTCAATGAAAAGTATTTACCCTGTTACATCACGGACAGGCAAGTTTTTAACGAAGCTCAAGGAGGGTAGGAACACCGCGGTGGGCAAACTTTTTTTTCCCTTTCTTTTCGCTCGGAATAATCATCCCACCCACCCAGGTGCTCCTAACCTACCCCGGCTTGGTTGAAAAACTACGACCGATGCCCATCATCCCCTTCGCTTCTGATAAAGTGCTAATACAATTAGGATTAACACGTTAGACTGAGTTCATTTCTTGATATACTGACCTTCGGATGGGTGGCCCCCCACCCCCAACTACCCATTTTTACCCAATTCGGATTAAGTGCCAGGCTAAAAACTCCCATCCAACTCTTGCAGCACGGTCAGATGTAGTTGAGTCTTGAAATCTTTTAGAAACTGAACATTATATTAAACTTATTCTGTACTCCTCAACTTTGCAACATATCGGCTTCTTAAGTAGCCTTTTTGAGGCCAACATGGTGCTGCAGTCTTGCCTACATATGTATATATAAGGTGGTCATCACCTTTCAAATTCACTACTTCATGCGTTGCCTCTTTCCGCCACAGCAAACAACTCGTTCTTATCATTATCTTACTTGCAGGCACAGTCCACGATAATTTGGAAATACTCTTTTTAAGTCGGACAGCGGAAGTATTGGTTAGGAGTAGTGATCGGTGGTGAAAGAAGCGAAAAAAAAGATCGGCGATTCCGCTAAACGCTTAAGGCATTGTTTTTCAAAAAGGTTAAATTAGAGATGTACGAGATTCGCATAACGAAAATGCCATGGAACTGGTATCTGGACGAGATTTCAGTTGTTGCACCAGCGCAAGGAGCTGACTACATCGAGCCAAAGCTGTTCAGATTTGCCTTTCACTGTCGTTATACATCATAAAAGTTGTTTGAACTTCCTACATGGGTTCCCTTGTGAATGGTGCAGCCTCTACAATGCCATTGAAACTTGTCCGCGCATACAACAAGGACAATGCGCAGGCCTTTATAACGCCCTATCTAGGCCGCTTTTCGACCTGACGGAGCCATATATGATATACGAGGTGCTAAAAACTTATCCTAACGGGAAAACCCATGAGCCATTTTTGACTTGAACTGTGCCTTTAAGCTGTTCATCGTTTATTGGAGCTTACTATTCCGTCGCGATTTTCATACATTCCATGCTTAGGCCCTGATCCATCTTCTTGTTATTAGTTCTCAAAAGTTATTTACTTATTTATTACATCATTATTACTTAGCCATGCATGATCACGCTCCGCAGACACTCGGTCCAGAAATACAGCGTACTCACGCCCATGCACACGTACCCTCGAAGTTATGATGGTGCTCGAAGACCCAGCAAAGTGCTTTCTTCCTTATACACTCTGAAGAGCTCTGAATTCGATGTTGGTGCTGACATGACACTTTCGAATCACTTGTAGTTTTAGTGAGAGGAGCTTAGATGACTTAACTTTCGAGTTCAACATGTGACCATTTTTTGACTCGGAAATAGGGAAGGCAAAGACTTGTAGGAACAATAGAAATAAAACAGAAAGGAAGCTGGAAAGTCATCAACAGCTCCACACGAAACATTAGCCCAGAATGATCTACAATTAGGCTATTTTACCAAGTTGTTAGCTCGAAGAACGACAGTTATAATAGAATCAGTAGTGGTCTTATAACTGTCGTTGATTTAGTAGAACAAACTTAGTAAGGAAGGTGAAAGCATGTAATGAGTGATAAGTTTGTAAAAATGATGTTATGTCTTCGAAGCGAACTGCTTTGTTCAGCATTTCTACACACATGACACACGTGAAGCTTCATTGCCTCAACATTCTCTATAGGAATTGCTTATAATGAGAAGTGCCGAAAATATAACTTCTTGGAAATATTTCAAAGTTCTTTGGCCAGTCAAAAGGATTATTTTCGCGGAAAGGCAAGAAGGGCATCTATTCAAACTTTAACTTTTGTTTAACGGATGAATTTTCAGAAAAAATCCTAATGAATAGTCAGAACTGTTTTGATTATTGTCCTGACATCTCACATCATGATAACTAGCATAAACACAGATGAAAACCTCAGCTTCATTGCTGGCGTTGAAGGAAGATTGGAATAAATAAGCCAAAAAATAATACGATGAAAATCCTACCGTAAGATGTGTGCTGCCCTGAACTGGATGCATTGACGTTGGAACGATCGGGTAAAGATGTCCATGCTGCGGCTGCTGAAAGCCGCACGGCGTTGGCAGTACGGCGACGCTCTGTTCGAAATAATCCTTATCCTCGTAAGAATACGAGGTTGCCAGGTAAGAGGTGTCCATTGAGCAACGGTGGTCTGAGGAAGTCTGGCTTAGTCGGTCAGCTTAATGGGCCTCGGTGAACAGTCGACAAGGGTGGTGATTCTGCTGCTCTTCTATGTCTATGTGTTAGTCGTTGTGTATACGGCGTGATGCGTTTCGTTCACTCACTATACGTATAGGAAGCGATCCGGCGTGTCAAGTCCGACAACGAAGCGCTGCGATCATGATCGGCGCCGTCGGCGTCGTTCGCTCGAAAAGGTGCGCGTAAGCTTATCAGCGGTTTGCTACACCTCTGGATATCTAAAGGCGAATCTGGATGAGGAAACGTGCAGAGAAATTTATAGTCACATCAGAACAACTGATAAATACAAGATTCTACAAACGAAAGTTTCATACTGGAGCAGATTCTCCAACAGTGGAAAACACAAATACCCAGGTTGTTGCTTATTCTGAAATAGCAGAGGTCGTAGAACAAATTACCCTCAGTGTATCTCTAACTCTCTAGTCACCGTCGTGCTCTATGAAAGGTGGAACATGGGATTATCAAAACCATATAAAATAAAGGATAGATGCTTCTATAACTCTTATTGATCGTGATCTATAGGCCAAGAGTTTTCTTGCATGAGTTTCTGACAAAAGGAGCGTTATGTCCATGAAGACACAAACCAGCCGCACCGAAAGGATATTTAATATCGTTTAGCAGGCTGGTAACTCAGTAATTTCAAGAAAAGCCAATTAAAGAAACATTCACTCAGCTACGTATTGATTCACCTGGTCTTTGAATGTGAATCGTTTCGAAAAGGTAGAAGAAAAACGGTGAAGAACAACTGTGTAGCCAATCTTATGTCTCGCTGTGGGGTGATATTATCAGAAGGAGATGCGCCTCTGAATCAGTCAAACCTATTTCGAACTTCTCAAAAATTGTCAAATCACATTTTTAACACCATGTCATTTCACGTTTTCCTCCTCCCTCATATAAAGTTTCCAAAGGCGTATCTACTGGTCATATAGGGGAGATTGCTCTGGAACATTCATGTGATCACTTCCCTCTCGTTCTGAATAATGCAATGTCTTAGCAACTACGTGTGGAAGTGTTACAAGCTGGGGTTATGCCGTCAATGTGCATTATTGTTGAGGCCCCTTAAAAGAAACAGAACCGAGAGGAGGTAAAGAGTTACAACTAGTTAGTTACAGTCAGCTCCAGCCTCTATCCTAACCATACGTCGAAAATGAGGAATGGTAGACATGATCATGAGGTTCCAATTGAAGGGGTGAAAATCATTGTTGTAGATAGAGTTGTGCCAATAGTGTTGAGAAAATGGGAAGGTATAGTTTACCTAGTTGAACATTGGGGTGTTTTGATACTACTCTAATAGAATGTTTCGTAATGACATAGATATTTCCCAGTTTTGAAGCATGACTCTAGCACTATTGACGGCTGAACATTTAGAAGTCTACCGTACATTTGAGAAAACTCGAACACCTTTCACATACTTGCTTGGCTGCTATAAAAACGCGTGCCAGTCATTTACAAGTTTTGCCAGACAAGGCCAAAGAGATCAAATTCTGAAGTGACATAACCCCCACAGCACAATTAGCGGAAGCATTTATTCGTTGGTAAACTTTGTCATCAAGCTGATGAATTCACTAGTAGCTAAATAAGCAACATCAATAAGAAGGCCAACTTCAACAGAGAGGTGTCGCTCAACGGGCGCGACTGACTATGCGACTTCGATAGGACCAACCTTGCGAGATGTTGCCAATGCCGTTCGTGTCGCCTGTTACAATCGGAGGACGTTTCGCAACGCGAACACAGCGTTCAACAGTCGACCACTAGGCTAAACCCAAAGATGGTAGATAATAAAGTGTCTCTGATTTGTGGCACGTGTTTCTTCTAGTATTTAGGAATGATGCTCCTTCAGCGAGCTTGAGCAAATTATTTAGCAAATTGTTGTGTAAGACTTAAACGTTTGAAGTTGAATGTTTTCGAGATTCCAGCTGTCAAATCATTGCCGACCACGTGACCTAGACTTCCGAATTCGCTATGAGAATATCAGTAAAGAGCGATGCGCATGAGCTCCGCTTTCCCTTGTGACAGACAGCTATACTATATAATTTAGTTGCATATATGTGAGTAATAGGAAACAAGAGTATCGTCTCTGGATCACCGAGATCATAGCTGTCACCATTCAGTTATCTTATGGTAATGTGCATTACCACTCTTATTCACCTAATCGCCTTGAGCTCCGCCCAACTTATGGCATCAAATTGAGTGCCTGAAAGAAAGTAGGGTCGATGATGGTTCTTGCACACAGAAAAATAAAAAAATGCGAAATTTCCTCTGTCCGACGAAAAGACAAGCTTGATCAAGGAGCACCAATGCTTTATCACATTTTCGTCCCACTTTTCACAGTAGGAATGGACAAGTACGCTCTCATCATAACTACGACGCGGCAGTATGACTATACTTAGCTCTGTTACATAGAAGCTGAAATATACAATGTTATTGTGGGTCATAATATCACAAACATCGCAAAAAAGGTCGTTAGTGGTCCTCCATTGATCACGCACCATTTTGACTTTTTCCTAGGTTGTCTGTAAGGTTATGGTATCATCACCTTAGGATGAAAATGATTAATGTGATGAAAAATTAGTTCATAGAAGACAAAAATGAAGGTTTCGGTCACAGTATTCTTGAGTAGAACAGGAGTAGAGAAGTGCCGTGGCCTTCATGACGATATCTTGAACCTCATTATGAAGCGTGTCCATTTCTGGAAGGTTTTTGAAATGCTCCACGGTCCGGCGAAGAAAGTTTCACTGCAGTATTTGTACACAGAGAAGCACAGAACTCTTTTTGATAAAGGCTTCATGCAAACATTTTTCCACCCACCATTTTCTTAAGATAATTATATAACTCTGTGAGAAGAGACTTTTCGGCGTAGTCGAGCAATATAGCTTGAAGACCCCTCTGGTATTCACTACGATCTGTTCTTAATGCAGCAGTGTGTCGAAGGCAAGCAAGAGGTATTATTGCATCATAGCCGTTGCGTTGCATATGGCGTAGCCTCGAGACACCTTGACCTTACGGCGGTGTTCATATTCTCCAGACGGTGGTGACCCGTAACACACTGTTACTTGGTTTTCGTAGGAATTACAATCTACTGAGTCGTTTTACTTTCTATGGCAAGCAGTGTCTCATACTATTCGTGGGCAAGAACGAGCAGTCTACACTGGTAAGGATATTATGTTTCTTATGTTAGTGCCTGTCATGCCACTGATCCTCATCTTCACAAGGAGGTGCAGGGATCTGCCGACACAATTGAGATCTGATTTGGGCCAATCGACAGCATATTTGATCACACTGCGGAAAGTTGATCATAGGGAATGTTTCTATAAGAGGTCTTTTCCCCGGTCTTGGATCTTTTCTGAACCAAAAGTACTGATTTGACTATTGTGCTATGGTTCTAATCTCTGACTGTTCTATTCTATAAGATTCAGTGATGAACTTTACTCTGCTCCCGTTCTACTGGATATCCCATCGGTAAACGAGGCCTAAGCATTGTTCGCTTTTTATTTGTATAACCTCATTCTGCTGATACGCTCTTCTACTTAATAGCTGTTAAAACTCTTATTTTTAAAATTCGTATTTTGCCGGGATGCTGATCGATTCTGCCAATTTCAATCCGCTCTTTCTTTGTGATTTTTTGTTGGCTGTTAAATTTAAAGCGTTGTGCAGGTAATCTGTTACTTACATCTCGCTTGTTGACTTTATTTCTTTAGGTGCTTAATATGTTCACGTTTCAGGAGGAAATGTAATTTTTCACTATATTGACTCGTTTCACCTGTTAATGCCTTTGTATTCCACGCCGCTTGTGATTTCAATGCTGTTGTTGTTATTCACCGCAACAGTGAATATCGGGAACGTTTGTGGTCAGTTTTAATCCACATTTATAGCGCATTTATTTTCGTTGCTCCTACCTTTTCCTTTATAATTGTTCTTGCTTATTTTGAAATACATTCTGTGTATTGATTTCACGTAACTTTCTTGTTTATCTATGTTTATGTTCGCCTGAACTCTCTCCTATTTATGGATGCGGCAGCAAAGACCTGAACTGAGGAAGAACGTCTACCACTCTACCCCTTTTCATTTTTATACTGCTTTGAAGGCGAATTCCAAGCACTCCCGGTAATGCCCATCATTCTGCGTCTCAGCTGAGCAGCTTAGCAGGTCTCAACTTCTGCTTCTGCAATTCAGGCCACTGACCATCCTACTTACTGTAAAGCGCTTCATCTGTCGTCTGTCGAATGTCGATATGTATGTCTGCCACAAAATTTCTTAGCTCTGTTTGATCTGCCTGAAGGGACCGGTCAAGCGTGATATGGGCGGGACATGTCCCGTGAAGTATAAGGCACACATAAGCTTGGCGGAGCCCCGCCCACAAGGGGGTGGCGTGCATCAAAATGAGCTGTGCCGAGGACCATGATTTCAAATTCAGTTACAAGACGGCTTCAAAAGTGAGGTGTGGTGTGAAGGTGGCTAGAGGTGTGCATTGGTGAGTTAGTTCGAACTAGGGAGACCCACCCCCGATAGGCGGGATGTTCTCCAAAAATGCAATGCTTTATGAAAACATTTATAACTCGCTTAGAGAAAGCCAACAACACAAGAAGAAGTTGATGTAGGGGAAGCATTGTCGAAGGTTTCTCCAGCATAAGTGATGTCAGTGGAGTCCCGCCCACAATGGGCGTAACGTGCCTCGAAGCTCACATCGTTTCTTAGAAGTCAGCATAATTCAGCTCTGAGAAGCCATGAAAAGCTGGAAAAAGGTTGTAAGGGTCGGAGAATAAGGGGAGGCTGACTGCCAATTGTGGGCGCTCCGCCCACAATGGGCGGGGGTTGAGCAAAAATTCATAACTCTTGTCCCCGTACTTATGGTGGGTAGCAGAACCAGGCTCCGTTTCCAATGGGTGGGGTTTAAGCGAAAATCGTCGATTGATCCAATGGCGTTCAAACTTGGTAAGGG